CTGTTTTTATACGTTTTTTATACGTTTTTTAAACGTATTATTTCTGTATACTTTCCTTATACTGATTATTTATAGGGCTTGCATTAAAGTATTACCAACTTATGTCTATAATAATGTTTAGTTATGTGTATAGTAATGCCTATTTACTTATTTTTTGATCCTTTATGGCCTTCTTATTGTCAAGATACTATTTATATGATTTTATCGTTCTGTGATCTTTTTATTTTCTTAAAACTATCTGCTTGTTTTCATTACTTTATGATCTTTTTATTACCCTCTAGATATTTGCTTATTTTCAATGCTCTGTGATCTTTTTATGACTAAGATATTAGATTGGTATGATTGCAAAAATCATATTAAAGTTGGATGATGTAATTAAATTACTATTAATTTTAGTCAGCACTATAGCACAGTATTGGGAAATTAGATAATTTTAGGTAGTTTTGGACAGGTTTTGGACATAATTTCATATGTCCAAAACCTTGTCCTAAACTAAAAAACGTGTCTAAAACCCATCACTGCTATAGCATAATTTTAGCTAATTTTAAAGCATGTGATTTGAGGATCTAACTTAATGTTATACCAACATCAGAAAGCTAGAATGTGTTTATTAATTTATCAGTTTTAAATCACTTTTATGTCAGCTTGAATACTGAGTTATTGTATCTAAAATTCTGGCTAAAATTATAGAATAGTAATAGTTAAAATAATTATTAATTTACTATACAAAAAAAATAAATTGTGAGTTAGTTTCCAATACCTTCTTATCATTTTTAAGCATTTAGTAGCTATCAGTAGCTATTAATTATCAAATATAATACTATATAGAAGCGTTTCTAGTAAAATCACATTACGGATCATATGATTTACTATGCCTCATGACTTGATTTTACTGGAAACGTTCCTATATATTTTGCTTATAATTTTAGATTAGTCTAATTTATATTTCTATTCTCTATTACTATTACTTACTCATACCTGTTTATATTTAATATCTATTTGTAAGAACTTTTTATCAAGATTATTACTACTTAAGGGTAGAGTATATGACGTCACTTCACTTATGGCAAAAATCATGTGATATGGATTTTCAGAAAGTTTCACAACTATAAGTTCATGTAACCTTGCGAAACACAAATAATTCCTACTCAGCAAAACCTGAACTATCTAATGATATATTATTGAATATATATTGTTAATAAAATAACCTGAAAAAGTTGGTTTTTTTACTCACAAAGTTGCGAATTCTGGCTTTATAGTTTGCGAATTCTTTATATATGATATAGCTTTTGTTCACAAAACTTGAGAAATATACAAAAAACTTTATTTTACGTGTCAAAACTATGTTTCAAATAATAAAATTTGGTCACTTTATTTTTGTAAAAAAAAATGTATTCATTATATATATCATATATATATAATATATATAGAGAGAAATGGCTGAGTCTCAGTGATACCAAAATCTCTCTTCTGATGACAAATATCAGGTTTTTTCACGACAAAATAGAACACATTTTGTATTAGATACTGCACAACTCTGTCAAGTTATAGATATACAGTCAACCCTTGATATAACGAATTTTATGTCCTGAACTTCAACTTCGCTATAGAGCTATAGTGAATTTTTTAAAGAATTTGATTGGCTAGTTCGTTATAACGAGGGTAAATTTAATATAGTTGTCCAAAAAATTCGTTATATAAAAATTCGCTATAGAGAGGTATGACTGTACATGAGCAATTTTAAGATATAACGGTTAATTCTCAAGGAGGATATTATCATATTAAATTGATAATAAAAGGACTTGGGTTCTACTTTTACCTGGCTATATAATTTACACTGCTTTTAAAAGCAATATTTTCAAACTTTTTATTGAATATTCCAATCATCAACTATTATTTTTTTGGGTTGATTTTGGTAAAGATGAAAATAATCTTACTATCCCTATAATATCAGACTCTCAGCCTGATCGTTTTCAAAGTTTCATAAAATATATTAATCCCAGTGGTAAATTAACAATTCCTTCTATAATAGGTATTAATATTTCATCTATTATCAGAATGCTAAAAGGTGTAGTACACAAAATATATCCTGAGCTATATCCTGAATTGCAAGCTTTTACTAAAGCACAAGAAATGACAGAAAAAATAATTGGAACAATTGAAAAAAAAGGAAAACGCCTTCGATCAGAATTATAATTAACTCCAACAGGTGAATTAGTTCGTGAAGGCATACACATAACCAGTAATATGAAACCAGTAAGTTCTGAAAGTTTTTATATAGTATTGTCTGAATATAAGTATACAAAAAACAAACTATATAATGCTAATCGGCAAATTAAACGGCTAAAAGTACAACGTGATCATTATCTTGATGATATGGAGAAGGAAAATGATAATAATGATGATGAATTATTAGCCTTAACAATTCAAGACTCCATAAAAAAGGAATTGCTTGGCTCAATACTATTGATAAGCACTGAGCAATATCTTTCTTTGGTATTACAACAGCCATGTGAATCTTGTGGAGAAACAAAAGTTGTCTACAAAAATGAAATGTTTCAATAGCAGGACTCTCCACAAAAGTACTTATCAAATGTCAAGTTTGTAAGATGATTAAAGAATATTCTAATAAATCGACAGAAATAAATTTCAATGCTTGCTTTGCTACTGCAGGTTTAGTTGGTAGAATAAATAGACAATCATTACAAATGACTTTTATGTGTGTGGGAATTATATCACAACTTTGTAAAGCTTCTTATCATAATTACCAATCTATGACTTATGAAAAGATTATAAAGTCAGCTGAAATAAATGCAAAGATGACTTTGTGAAATGTAATTATTTATCATGAATCGCAAGGAAAGCATACTTTACCTGTAAGCTTTGATTGCTTATGGTCTCATGTTCGTAATGCTCAACAGGCTAGTGGAGGAATGATATACGATGGTAAAGATATAAAAGGTAAATATTCTTTTAAAAAAAAATTGTTTTAGTTTTATAATTACTTATTATAATTTTCTACATTAGGATATTTTTACAAGCCGGTGATTGCATTTCGTGTTGTTGAAAAGTCTCGCAAGATCAAAAAAAAGATGGAAAAGATGAGATTATTATAAAAGAAGGCAATTTTGATTTAAGTTTTCGCCAAATAGAGCATGCCATTCTGATCAATATTCTTGGAAATTAACTCCAATTTTAGAAGAACATGATATTCTTATAAATGTTATCATTGATGGTGATCTAGATTTCAATAAAACCTTAGGAAATGTTGCAGTTGTTAACCAAATTTTTGCTGATCTCAAGTATGTAACTAAAAACATCTGCAAAAACTTATGTTAAGTAAATAACTTTTATTCAACTGATTGTGATTTTTTTGAACAGATTAATTAATCTTATATTATATCTTTGTAGTAAACAAATTTCCTCAATAGCGTGATTTTGAGCAGCACATTATACTTTATTTTATGAGCTATGTATATGTAGCAGGTATTCAAAAAAGTAATGATGAAAATTGCTCTATACAAGAAAAAGATAATTTGTTATGTATAGATAGAAGGTCTTTTTCAACATCTTTGTGATAATCATGAATTATGCTGGCCAGAAGTCTGTTAGATAAAGAATAATCAAGAACTGCAAGCTTTCAGAACCTACTCTCAAATCCTATACTTCTTATTAACGTAAAAAATTCAAATCTATGTTAAAAACAATCTTTCGTCTTCCTATTAACCAAGGCATTGGCACAAAAATGCGTACATCACAAAATGAAGCATTTAATCGACTTAAACTGGTTTATCTTGATAAAAGAATTGACTATTGGAAGTCATATTCAGTAAGATATGCCTTCGCAATCTTACATAACAATGAAGAAATTTGCGAAATGATAAATGTGGCTCGTTTAGCATGTAATATTATTTTATCTAATCAGGATCTTACTAATATAAGTAAGATTGAAATGGAATGAAATCAGCAACGCTTACGTAATGTTGCAAACATCCAAAAATGAAATCAAAAGCGAGCAAATGAATTAAAAAATAAACGAGAAGATCTTGAAACATTTGTTTAGTCTCAGGTAATTCATATTGTTATCAAATATGTATATACTGTATCTTTATAAATGTTTTATTTATTATTCATTTTTTTTAATAGGAACTTATATCTTATAGCAAGAAAGCTCAATATAATATTTATACAAATCAATTCTATCCTTCTTTTGCATTGCAGATACCAGATTTTGATGAAACAATAAAATGTGTTGCTTGCTATGCATTTCCAAAATGTACCGCAAGAGGTTTTTGCTGTGTTTGCCATTTTTATATTGAAAGTGGATTATGGGATCAGATTGTTGATAAACTTATTAACCAAAGATTGAAAAACCTGTCAATGTCAGTTTCGAAATAATGTGTATATCAGTACTATATGATATTTACCAGTTTTGTGATTTTCAGAGTGAACAAATGGAAGTAATTCAATCTTTTGTGAACAATCAGAATACAATTGTTATAAAATAAACAGGAGGTGATAAAAGTTTATGTTATACTATAGCAGCCATTCTTTCACAAGGAATTACTGTGGTATTTTCTCCCTTAAAGGCACTTATAGATGACTAAGTAATGGAATTGATCAAAGTAGAAATTGCTTGTGATGGTCTTTATACATCAACAGAGCAACCATTGCAGTATCAAAAAAAAGTTTTTGAAGAAATTGCTTGTGGATTAACACAAGTTATATTTACAACTCCCAAGAAGTTTCAGATGAATGCAGGCTTCTCAGATCAATGCTATAAAGGTATAATATAACAAAGGGAATCAGATTTGTAGTAGATGAAGCACATTGTATTTTAGACCAAGAAAATTTTCGGTAGGTTATTTCAGATATAAATTATAGAGAATTTAGCATTTTCCTCTAATCAAAATTTATTTTATTAGTAAATCATAGGCTTATCTTAGAAATCTCAAAGTACTTTTCTCTTCTGCGCCTATTTTACTTTTTACTTCTTACTGCAACTTGCAGTCAAATTGATTTACAGGAAATTACCATACAACTTGAAATAGACTACTAACAAGCTTCTCTTATTCGTAACATATCTTTTGAGAATAATCCAATTATCTATGAAGCATGAAAAAAAGGAAAACAAAGAACAATTTTTAAATGATATTATTAATATCTATAATGAAATAGAGAATGGCAAATGTATTATATATTGTCCTTCTTTAAAAGGCTGTGAAAATCTTACTACTGAACTTCAAACTAAAGTTTCAAAAGAAATAATTGTTATATATCATAGTGAATTATCTACCAAACAAAAATCAACCACTCTTTTAAACTGGAGATCTGGAAAAATTCGGATAATGGTTACCACAAATGCGTTTGGAATGGGTATTAATATTCCAGATATTCGTGTAGTAATCTATGCAGGATTTTCTATGTCCATAAATAAGTTAAAAAATATAAACTCACTCTATAAAAATTACTAATATGTGTATATTTTTATAGAAAACTTAATACAAGAAAGTGGGTGTGCAGGTCATGATAGATTGTTTGCAAAGGCAATTATTATGTATAGCCGAAAAGACATTAGAACAATAATGGAGATTTATTCAAATGGACAGCCCAGGTAAATTTTATATCTTTTTGTCTGATAGATGTAAAAATTAACTAAGAAAAATTTATTTGAAACCTATAAGTATCAATGCTAATGAAGAGAAAGGAGAAATAGAATCAATAGGGTGTCTTAAATATTTATCTGAAGCAAAACGTAAGATTCAAAAGGTATTGTTTTATTGTTCTTCAATTTATCAATATAGGAAAAAGATGATTATTGATTATTTTGCATAGTCAGAAGATCCAGCATTAAAAGAATGTAACATTTGTGATAATTGTCTTCAGCGTGCATCTGATAAACCAGTTTAGGTTGATATCTGAATAGATATGGAAAAAATGTTAGAGATAATAGAGATCATTACAAGTGAAAGACAAAAATAACAAGAAATAATGTAATTGATGTATTCCGTCAGTCTCAAGCAAAGAATGTTAAAAATAAGTTCAGAGAACTGTCAGTTTACCTAAAGAAATTTTCAAGAAAGCTCAAAACTAAAGAGGATGCATTTTTGTTATTAGATGATTTAGTTTTGCGTGATCTTATAGAAGAGGATATAATTTTGACAAGATCACTAATAGCACAAACATTTACTTGCAATGTATTTATTATTGGTATTGCAGATGGAGCCATTGCTAAAACTAATACAAAAGATTGGCAATACCTAATAAAAACTAGTTGATAAATACACGCAATAATAATAACATTAGTAGTAATATAAATAATATAATAGTAATATAATATCAATAGTATTAGCGTAGTAATAATAATAATAATAATAGTAATAACATATTATAATAATATAATAAATAATAATAAACAATAATAGTAATAATGTTTTATTTCAAGTTGTTAATGCAGGTCAGAATTAATTTTAGCCAGCATTATGTGTAAATGATTTCGACATTTTTTTTGCCATACTAGTTATATAATAATGATGACATCATATACTCTACCCTTAATGCTTGCTTGTCATTTTTATCATATCAAGTAAGATAATTCTGATATAAAGTAATGCAATATATTTGTTTGCAAAAAATGTTTTTAGACTATATTAAAATATAATTTATTATGAATTGATCAGCATTAGAATAAGGTACTTCATTAAAGCTTATTATCTCATTTTATTTTCTAATCTTCTAACAGCTAATTGCATTTTTAAGCCTAATATTTTCATCTTTAAGCTCATTAACTTGTTTTCAATCTCCAATTACATATTAAAAACTTATGAGTAAATGTAAATTCAAATTGCAAATTAATATTTTGCTGTCTTAAAGAATAATGTTCAGAATTTATTGATATTTTATACATTTTGGAATAATTATTTTGCATATTTTCAATACTAAAAAATTCATAATGCAGTCAAATTTACTATTAATTTCAGTTAGTATGATGACATAATTTTGGCTGTTTTTAGAATATATAATTTAAGGATCAAACATAACATTACTAATGTTATTAGTTTCATATACTAACCAGTGATAGTAGTGTTTTGTACAGATTGGATCAAATTGGTTTTAGGCAAATCTGAAAAATCTGAATCTGATAAATCTGAATTTGATTAATAAATATGAATCTGAATATCTGATAGATCAAAAAATTTTTTTTTAATAAAAATCTGTTTCTAATGTTTAGAATAGCGTTTTAATGTTAAAAAAACAACAATTTTATTATTTTTTTTAACAAAAATCTGCTTCTGACATTTGGAACAGTGTTTTAATGTTAAAAAAAATAAAAATTTATTGTTTTTTTTAACAAAAATCCACCTTTGGCATTTAGATCAGCATTTTATTATAAAAAAATTAATTTTATTAATAAATGTTGTGTTTAACTTTCAGGGTGATATTTTAATATAAAAAATTAATTTTTATTAATTTTTTTATTAATAAATATTATTTCTGACTTTTAGGGTAGCATTTTATTATTAAAAATTAATTTTTTTAAATAAATGCTACATCAGACTTTTGGGATAATATTTTATTATTAACATTAAAAATTAATAAAAATTAATAAATACCATGTCTGACTTTTGGAAAAGCATTTTATTATTATGCAAAAATTAATTTTTTTAATAATAAATGCTGTGTCTGACTTTCAGAAAGGCATTTTAATATAAAAAATTAATTTTATTAATTTTTTTATTAATAAATATCGCATTTGACTTTTGGGATAACATTTTAATATAAAAAATTATTTTTTATTAATAAATGTCACATTTGACTTTTGGGATGGTATTTTAATATAAAAAATTAATAAAATTATTTTTTATTAATAATAAATTCTGTCTTTGACTTTGTATAGCATTTTATTATTAAAAATTTAATATAAAATTAATTTTTTATTAATAAATGTCACATCTAACTTTCAGAGTAACATATTTTTTTTCAAATCAATAAATCAGATCTGAAATAAAAATCAGTCCCAAAAGTAAGAGGCGACATTTATTATTAAAACTTTATTTTTTTTAATAATAAGTCATTCTAATAGTCAGAGGTAGCATTTATTATTAAAAATAAAAAAACCATTTTTTTTAATAATAAGTTCATCCTAAAAGTCAGGGGCAGCATTTATTATTAAACTAATTTTTTTAATAATAAAGTCTGTCCTAAAAGTTGAAGGCTACATTTATTATTAAACTTTATTTTTTTTAATAATAAAGTTTATCCTGAAAATTAGAAGTGGTATTTATTATTAAAACTTTATTTTTTTAATAATAAAGTCTAGTCTGTCTTGAAAGTTAGAGGCAGCATTTATTATTAAACCTTTTTTTTTTAATAATAAAGTCTATCCTAAAAGCTAGAGGTAACATTTATTATAAAAAATCATTTTTTAACCATAAGCCCATCCCGAAAATTGAAGGTATTATTTAAAAAAATAATTTTTAATAATTTTAATAATAGAATACCATTCTAAAAGTTGGATGTAGTATTTATTATTAAACAGTTTAATAAATTTTTATTCTAATGTCAGGCAAATTTTGTTAAAAATACAACAAAATTGTTATTTTTTAATATTAAAACGTCATTCTAAATATTAAGATGTGGATTTTTGTTAAAAATAACAAATTTGTTATTTTTTAATATTAAACTGCCAATTTAAACATTAGAAGTAGATTAGTATTAAAAAATTTTTTTGATTCATCAGATTCAGATTCAGATTCGTTGGATAAAGATACAGTGTAACTCAAATGATCTTCAAGAATTAAAAATTGTGATATAGTAAAGTGATCTACAAAATGATCAACATGTGGATTGATCTATAAAATCAATGACACAATGATCTGCATAAACAATCTGTGAAATTAATCAGATCAGTTAATGAAAAAATGAAGTAACAGATTATTAACCCATGACGATACGCATAACCTTCTAAACTAGAAACTCCAAAAAGAAACTTCAAGGAGAAATTAGTTAAGTATAAGAATGTAGTAATAATTTAAGAATAATATAATTATATTTTCTACATTTTTTCAAATATATATATATTATAGTAATTAAGTAATTATTACAATTATTACCACTGGTCGAAATGGGTACAAATCGGCTAAAAATCAGACAGATGATTGATAGATAATTGATGGTTGATCTAGGGCTGATTTGCATTGATTCTGATTGACACAATATGAGTCAATCAGAAATATCAATTGGTTATCAATCGGCTATCTAAAATTGGCCTAAAAACTACCTAAATTTGATCATCAATCAACCTAAATCAGCCAAAAAATCAGCTAAGTAAATCAGAATTAAAAATAACTAAATTATATTTATTTAAATTTTATTAATTTTATAATTTTATAATTTTATTATTTTTACATAATTATTGTGATTTTTTAAG